ACATTTTTTAAGAAATAGATAAAATTTGTTTCATAAAAAAAAACTTTTCTATTTATTTATTGAAAATGTACTTTTTATAAGAAAAAGAATTAAATCAAAGAACTCATAAAAATTATCATATATTCAATATTAAGTACTTCTAAATTAAACAAAAGTTAGCTTATGATGCGAGGTTTAAATAAGCTTTTATAAAATTCTTTTATCATATTTGTAATCATGAGATTTAACAAATGATATTTATAAATAAATTAACGTCTTCTCCTTTCATACATTTCTGAACTGCCTTCTCTTGAACACAAGATTCTCTATCACTACTACCACCTTTTCACTATGTCTTTTACTCTTGAATATGAAATATATTATGTTGAAATAAAATTACTCACTATTTGCACATTTATAGTCTCAGACGAAGATTAGTTACTATTTGGTGACGGGTTTGGTGCCTACGTACGTAAGTCTTGAGAGAGAAGAAGCCTTTCATCCTCCTTTCTCCCGATTGCTTTAGTGTAGTTGCTCTAGTGTGTGAGGCACATTGCTGAACTCTTCCTTTTTTTTTCTAAATTTTTCGGGAGTTGTAGTACCTTGCATTGGTTGTGATTTGAAGTGATGGAGCTAAGGACTATGTGAGTACAAAGCTCAATTTCTTCCTTCTTCCCTTTTTCGTTCCCGGTAACTCGAAGTTGAGATAAGGAAAGCTAGGATTGATTGTGTATGAGATGATTGAATTGTATGTTGCTGGTTTGGATTATGTATGAGTGTATAGTTGGAAATTTTCCTAATTGGATGATGGAGGGATGGGTTTCAGTTGTTCTTGGGGTTGCTAAGATGATTTTGATGATCTAGATTGAATTTTTTGTTACATGTTAAGATGATGGTGCACAAGGAATTGTAGATGTATATTATGAATTGTGGTTGTGCATGCTTATATGGTGGTACGGGTTGATTGGATTTGCAATGGCTAAGATGGTTGTTGGGTTGATGTTTTTTAGCTTTGAATATGTAGGTTTATGGGTCTTCTTACTCAAAGCACCCATGGGGGTCACTCAGAATGAGTAGGTGTGACTAGGTTAGGAATGGCCTCTAACTTGGCTCACTCAACTGAGTAAAAGTGGAAGTTCACGGATAGCCCCTAACTTTGCTTGCTTAAAGTGAATTAAGGAGCACTTTGAGAAAATTTGGTTACTCAAAACGAAGGTGATGTCGCTTGAAGCGACTAGAGTGAGACTCCAAGGGTGCTCTTTGTCTAGGCTTGCTCCAAGAGCGAAATTATGTTGCTTAAAGCAAAAATCTTGAACACTTGAAGCGTTGAGTTCCTTCTTAGTTGTATGAGTTAGGTGTTGTATGAAGTAGAATGAAGGTTTACTTTAATACCTTGTATGTTGATTATGCATTGTCTTAGGATAATGTATGATGATGATTTAATTGTTAATGAGTACATGATGTATGGTGAACATGAATAATGCTTAAGCCTATTACATTTTGTGTGATGTAGAATGATGACAATAAGCATTGGTATGTTATATTTGTGTAATTGAAATGGTGATGAGTATTAATATGCTACGTATGATTGATATATCATACTTTGATGAGTTGGTAAGCATTGGTATGTTATAATTGAGTTACATGTTAAGCATCAATATGTTGTTCTTGGTTGAGGTATTAAGCGCTATACATGATTGGTGTGATTTGATCTCTATATGCATTGACCTAGGAAAATGTATATAGAAGATGATGTTAAGGTGTTGATGCTAAGAATGATGTGGGAATTAAAACATGTTGATTGACTTAGGACAAGACGAGAGAATGTTATTTAGAAAGCTGAAGATCCCACATAGGGAATCTTGTTTTAACGCTTTAGGAAGCCAATTGTTGAAAACTCTTCTTGAGTAGATGTTAAACTCTTGGAGTGAATTTTGTTAGTTTTCTCTAAGCTCTTAATCAATGTGGAGTAAAGTATGAAGCCGAAAGCTATAATCCTAACTAATTATTGGAAAAGTTATGTGGTTCCTTGTAGATAGTTAGTGGACTAACTCCATAAGTGATTTGTTAATGTATGTCAAGGTTATGATACGCCTATACCTAACTATAATAGTCATGATAGTGGAATAGAAGGGATTAGTATCCCATTTTAGTTGTGGATCCGGTAGACGCATAGGGTGTGAAAGAGATCATGCTTGATTTGATAAGATTAAGCCACTTAGATTGTTCAGGTGTAATAGGAGATCTTCATAGGTGAATGTGTGACGAATCATTAGTTGTTAAGTATACATATAATGTGGCATGAGTTGTTATTGTTGTTCATATGCATTGGATGAGCATATTGTCGTGGGATGCAGATCTTGTGGTGAGATTGCTTGGTCAACATGATGATGTTGAGTATAAATGTTTCTTTATATACTTCTATGTTTTTGAAATCTAACCTACCCTTGTGTATTTTTCATGTAGATAGACTGTGATACTCATAATTTGTACAGGAGCAAGGCAGGGATAAGTTGACAGAACAATGGAGGCCATATGATGAATGACGGTACTTTTGGATCTTTTGGGCTACTCCATGTGATAATTGTATATACCGTGTATATAATTGTAGAGTTATTTTTAGTAGCTTGCATTCATGTACATGTTATAGTGTGCATATCCAATATTTCGAGTATAAACCTTTTAGTATGAGATAGTTTCACTTCAAACTAGGTATTTATTAGGGGTGGATCCGGCCCGTTTAAGACCTGATCCGTAAAACCTGCGTTTTATATGGGTGGATAAGTCCGATCCGTAAAATAAATGGACTTATTTTTTAAGTTCGTATCCGACCTGCCAAAATCTGTGAATAACATACCAGTCCGCGAGCCTAAATAATCATTCAAAAAAATAAATTTTTAAAAAATAAAAATACATAAAATTAGAAGAAAAAAAAATATTTTTTATTTATAAGCTAAATTTTATCATACTAAAATTTATCAATAGTTAAAATGGTTTAAAATACTAAATATTAAAATATTAAAATAAAAATAATTACAAATACTTAAATAATAGTACCAAACTTTCAATAATAAAAGCATCAAAATGTCATAAAAATAATTCAAATGACAAATACATACTAACTAAACATAATTTTAATGTCATAATAATTTAAAAAAATTAAATACACAACTTAATATTAAAATCGTAATATTTAAAAATATTAATTAGTAAAGTCCACGGACTAGCCCGCGAGCCGGCGGATTAAATCCGCAAGTCCGCGAACTTCATGGGCTGGGCTCAAAAATTAAACATAGTCATAAGAATTTGAAAAAAATGGGTCCGTTATCCGCGAAATCCGCAAATTTACGGACCGGTCCGCGGACCCGAATCCATCTACCCACCCCTAATGATCATATTGGATCGTTCTAGTCACTATTTCCAACAATAAATATTTCAAATCAATGTCGGGTAAAAAAAATTCATTAACGAAGTCTTATATCCCCCATTCTCTTCACCACTCCTTCCACTGCCACCATCCTTTTATGCTTCAAACTAGGATCTTCCCTCACCCTTTTCATCACTTTTCACTTCAAACTAGGTATTTACTCACTCCTCTCACAACCACTCTCTTATCTATCTATGATCATCCATGTTTTCATTCTCTTTCTATGTTGTTGATCAATGTATAACAACACATGCATGACAAATTATTTGGACCATTGTTCAAATGTCTAGACTCAACACTCAATCCCACAAATCTTGATGTTTCATAATTAGGTTGACCAATTAAGATAGTAGGCTAAACAAAAACGCATGGTTTTGATCATGTGATACAAATTGATTGAAATAAATTCTATTTAATAACAATTTTCATGTTAATCTATAATTTGGTGTGTGTTTGAATATGCATTGCTATAACTGATTTAGGATCGGTATAAATTTATAGAATTAATTTTGATTAAACTTGAGTTAAAAGTACTACAATTTTTGTTTGGATGACAAAAAAAAAATATGAACTTGATTTTCTTATTGAATGTTATTTGAAAACTTTTTTAAAATTAATTTTGAGTATATAATTATAAATCTGAATTATCAAAATTGATTTTAAGTACATAATTATAAATCTGAATAGATAAAATTTTAAAACTGATTTTATTTAATAAAGAAACTACTGATAGTTGTTTCAAAATAAATTTGAACATCTTGAAATTAATTTTAATAATAGTCAAACATATAACAAACATATTCTAGTCATCATGAATGCTACAAAATTGATTTCACATATATTAAAAATAGAATCAAAGATACCACAATTTTGTTTGGATTAATTCTTTCAAAGGTTTTTTTTTTTTTAATGAAGTTGCGTATAAACAACTGGCCTCTTATTCTATAATCTCTAGGTGATATTTTACGACTATTAGTTTTTCTACCATAAGTGGAAAGAACCTAACTTCATATGTATTCCACATTGTTCATAAAAAAAAAAAAAAAAAAAAAAAAAAAAAAAAA